CAATAATGTAATTTGGAAGGGGAAAATGGGCAATGATCAAGTGCTGAGTGAAATGTGCTTGCTATATGTATTCGATCTTCCAAAGAACCTGCTCCCATCCCCAGCCTATGTGAAACAAAGCACAGTGAAAATGACAAAAGCTAAAATCATGGGTCACCACACTTTGAGTTCTAAGGCTAGTCTATTTCATCCTACTACCGAATCTGAACCTAGATCGTCAAGAAGCAGTAACACTGCTTTATACTGAGTCCTTCCCTGCTCCTTTTCATTCACTTCAGGTCTCCCTCGTTACACCTTTTCTCAAATGCCAATTGTAGGGAATATTGCCATAAGCAGTTAATTGAGAGCTAATTAAAATGTCAAATGCCAGTTGGAAGCCTCACATTCCTTATTTCTTTGCCTTGTCCATGAATATAAAATATATGTTGGGACCAACTCATTTTGTCCGCCCATGTCCACCTTCATCATTGCATTCTGTCACAGCTTTGGGGCCATTGCTTTTAGTGAGCTGTCTGCTCACAGGGAACAGAACGCTCCAGATTTCACATTGCTTTCCCCTCAAAATCCAGTTGCTGGCTTCACACAGCTTGGTTGTTAACTTCACGAGGATGTGTACAATTTCTGTTAACTCATCTATAAGGACTAATTGTAATCAAGGGTATTTTTGTGTGCCCACTAAGTGTTAACTGCTACCATTGGCTTTGGGGGTAAATGGATCTGGGAATGAAGTCTAGAACAAACTGTCTTTGGACATACATGCAGTCTCAGAGGTGGTGGCTGATTGCCCTGTAGCCCACCGGGCTCCTTAGCTCCCCAGGGGTTTGGACTGGCTTTGGCCCCGCCATGGTGCATCAGCAGCTCTCTCAGCTGTGACTGGTGCCCGCCTTTTGATAGCTTTAAATGGTGCCTGCTAATGGCTTTGCAGCCTTTCAGTTCTCCCAGCAGGTTTTGGTGCTTTGTATTACTTTAAACACAATGTACTCTGAAGACATACAGAAATTAAGATAATAGTTGCAACCAGTCTGTGGCCTGTGCTACTTGTCGACTTTTTAAAAGGCAAAAGAGTGATGTAAGGCTTTGCAGCAAGTGTGGGTCAGAGTATTTCCTCTCTCTGCTTCTCATCTGTGTCCTGGACCTTCTATCTTTACTCCATTAATTGCTTTTTTCTTATTCTATGTTAACACCTTCAACCCTAAAGTCAGGTGTTTTTTGTTTGTTTGTTTTGTTTACTTTTTAACTCCCTCTTTTATCTCTCTTGTTTTGTCTGATTCATGGCTTGGCTGTCAGAACTGAAAGTGGCCAAATTTCAAGTTGATATTTTTCATTTTGCAAACATATAGGGAAAAGAGCCAGGGAATGGTTTTCTGGGTAAAGGACATTGGAATGCTGAGTACAACATATTTTGAAAGCAGTAATAAGTGTTTCATTGGCAACAAAGGTTTGAGAAATAAAAAGAGATGGGGGAATGCAAAGAAAACCCTTGCTCTGCTGAGTATCAGTTAAGCTGGCTGCTTTCTCACCTGCAGCAGGACCTCCCACGATTGCATAATGGAGGGAGGAGGAGCCAGCAAGAAAATGAGATGCAGTTTAATCTCATGAAGACCTTTGGCCTCACTGACTGTCCTAGACTCTCTGAAGCTTACTCAATGGGAAGGGTAGCTTCCAGACAGCCAAGGCAGCTAGTCAGACATTTAATTCTGAAGTTCAGAAATTATGTCTTTTGCTAAACCTCTCTGAGTAGGAAATATTCTGAATGGCACACAGCTCAGATCAAAATTTTTAAGTGAGGTAAGTGCATTATTGGGCACTGCTGTCCATTGAAGATGGAGTATATGATGACTAAATTTCAGGGTCATTACAGTGACCATCAGAGACCTTTTAATGGCTCACTAATGATGTACTGCATTTTGAATACCATCCCACTTAACACTGGAAAAGAGTTTCCATGTCTAATTAACAGGTCTGAGAGTAGTAAAATTACTTCTGACTTCATAGATAGTGAGCTAAAAAAAAAATAAAGAGCTTTAAGCCTCTCTGTTCTGAAACTAACTGAACAGGAAAACCTCCCACTCAAAGCATATAATGGAAGGGTAATATTTTTATGTTTTTCATGCAGAGACTCTATTCCTTTGGAGATGAATCCCAAATCCTAATAAAACCATTGAATCCAGTAACATTGGTTTGCTTACATCTCACCGGGCAAGCTCCGTACCACACCCTTGTCACTTCATCTATAGCAGGGAAGATTAAGGGATAAGAGGCATTTTAATACCTTTACTCAGTATGGCTGGGTCACTGGAAGCAATGAAGCTTCCCTGCCTGGATGGCAGTGTTTATTTCCCTGATAGAAAAGCATTCCCTGATTAAACTCTCAAAATAATAAACATTTGCTTTGCCTTTTTTTCCCCTTCTTCTTTTGGCTGTTTGTTGTTCCTAATTGCGAGCAATGTTGCCACTTATGGGAAATAAAAGTGCATATTAGCAAGTTCCACTTCCATTCTGCATAATTCTATTTTGTTTTAGTATCTTCTAGCGAGTAAGTGAAGCAGACTTTCTGCTACGACGGTGGCATTTTTAGTAGAAATACAAGTACCTATAGAAGAAATAGCTTCTAAAATATTCCAGGATACCAATTTGTACATTTTTAGATAGGATAGTTTCTCAGGTATTGCACCTAAATTATTTGAAATTTTATTTTTCTGGGGAAAAAACTTGAACATGGTCTTATACAGAGAAAGAACACCACCTGAAGAATTATTTCAGTAGTATCACTTGCATAAGCTAACACAAATTGAGTGTCTATATTTAATATTTACATCTAATTTTTAAATTTCCACATACAAATTAAAAAAATTTTCAACCTTTCTGCTCTGATGGAACATTTCATAGCAAAAAAAAAAAAAAAAAAGGAAGCACACAAATGTTTAATTTTTCAGTAACATGCTAAATTTTTAAGGACCAAGGTTTTTGTAAGACTGTTAAGCTAATCTAATAGCAGTCTAGTAACTGACTTGCTTTGACTAAGAACTGAACAGACTCTCTAGCAACCAGCCAGACTTAAGCATCCAGTCAAAACTTTCTCAGCATCTAGTACTTGGTTATTAATCATTTATAGTTAGATTTAGTTACAAAGTTCTCAAATCCAAAGAGACAAGAATTAAAGAGATTTAAAAATTAGTAATTTTTTTTTTTTACTCAAAGCCGCAGGCTATCTATAAACTCTTTCCTTTAGCATTTCATTTGAAATTCTGAGAATACCCACCACTCCTTTTCGCTTGTCAATAAAATTCACTGGGTATTTTTTGTTGTTTGTTTTGTTTTGTTTTACTTAGGTCCACGTCCATTTTTAGAAAATGATTTTGAAAACAGGTTAAAAATAAATACAGTTTCATCATTATTATCAAAACTGCAAACCTAAAATAGATGGTGAAATTATAAGCCAGGAGATCATCTGAGAGGTGAGGAGATAAAACTGGTTGTTAATAGTCAAATGCGAAACAAAAGAAAACCCAACAAAAAACAGAACTAAGATTGATCAAAAGCTAGTACCAGGACACAAAGACAGTGAAATTTGTCTTGGGTGTCTTTCAATTTCAATGTCTCCTATTAGCTGGCTTCATGCTGAAAGGTTTTCTAGTATAAGGTTAAAGCTTTATTGTTGTTTGTTTTAAATTTACAAGTTATCCTTTAAAAGCTAGAAACCTTTGAAACTACCCAAGAATAAATCCTTATTCTGGAGTTGGAGGCTCACAAAGGTGATGGAGGGCATATGGGTTCTCTAGGGGTCCTTCAAAGTACGTTCATAGTCATCTGTACATTCTTATGTCTCTGTGACATGAACAGGCAGTAAAATGTCCACAGCTGAGTACGAGGTGAAATCCCAGGTGGAGGATTTGTTACTGTTCCTCACCAGTTATGAGAACTTGTAGTTACTTTACCTTCATGATCCCTGGCTTTCTCATTTATATGTTGTTAATGATAACAGTGTGATGGCTTCAGAGTCTTGTGAGGGTCAGGATTAGAATGCATTTTGAAAAACAAAAAGCACTGGACAAACCTAATATGGTACCACCAAGTGGGGCATTTAAAGTCTGTATCTAACCATATGTTTTTATACTAGATATCACATTAAACTGTGGGATTCCATGTTTATGTAGGAAGGGATGCCATGGAGAATACCTCTCGAGTTCCAGGGAATGACTGTTTGCTGGTTGTAATTAACTGGGTCAGGTTAACTCCCACTGGGACCCCATTTCTGTTTTTATTACACTGAATCTCTGATGATGATGCCAGTAAGCCTAAGCCTTAGTTGTCTTTACCTTTGGTACTGATAATATTGGAATGATTACAATAACTGTCAGATTAGCAGTGGCTTAAAGAAAGTGAGAATGTTTGGCTTGAAAAAGAAAAGACCAGGATAGTAAATTAAGAGAGAAAGTATGACCTGAGTGTTGTATTATTAAGGGTTCTCTAAACAAAGAGAACTAAGACGTCGTAAATATACATATATGGAGATTTATTATCGGGACTGGCTCACAAGGTTATTGAGACTGACAAGTCCCACAGTCTGCTGTTTGTGAGCTGGAGTACCAGGAAAACTGGTGGTATAATTCAGTAGAGTAATCCTGAGAACTAGGGGCCCAGAGGTGGGGTAGACCATGAGGACATGGATGGGGGTGCTGCGTAAGTCCCAGAGTCCACAGGCCCAAGATCCAGGAGCTCTGACACATGAGGGTGGGAGAAGATGGGCAAGCCAACCTAAGAAGAGAGAGAGAATTAGTCCCTCATCTGCCTTTTTGTTCTATTTGGGTCCTCAACAGATTGGATGGTATCTGCACACATTGGTAAAGAGGGACCTTCTTTACTCTGTCTACTAATTCAAATACTAATCTTTAACCTTTTCTGGAAACATCCTCACAGACACACCCAGAAATAATGTTTTACCAGCTATCTGTATGTCCCTTAGTACAATCAAGTTGACACATAAAATTAACCATCACATACTTACCTGGGAGGGGAGATACTATGATCACAAAGGTGGTTTTCTCAGGGTGAGGCTTATCCATTGCACTCCGGATGTGCTCTGCAATTTCCCCAAATATGGGAAACTCAACTGCATAGTTTGTGGTAGTGGGGGACTGCGTTCTCACTTTCCCCTGGAATAAGAACAACAACAAAAATTAACCATCACAGGTGTTATCAAATCTTTGAATTCCTCGCACATAGAAAGTGGATTTATGTGTACTCCTCTCCATCTCACTAGACCTATATTCACATAGCTAGTTGCATAAAACCTTTTTCTAAGGGTTTAATTCACATTGACTGAAAGATACCTCTTTAACATGTAACTGGTGTTGAGCTGGTATCTGCTTCTGTATTGGTCCAAAGTCCCTTTGTAAAAGCTAATATGACTAAGATGCAGTTGCTCTGTCTTTAAATTCCAAGATAATACAAAACCATGGGAAGTCTTAAAAAAATATGTGGATAGGGGTAGGTTGAGAAAAGTTCAAGAAGACTTTTCCTGGGGAGAAAAGCATAAAACTTATGATATTCTACCCTATAGTATCCAAGAATTTGGTCCCCTGCTGCCAGCTTCACAGATGTTACTTTTGAGGAAGATGGATGCCAGTGGCAGTTGGTTCCAAAAATGTAATGTGAAACTTTAATTGGCATTCCTAATGTGCCACACAGTTTAATCATATGAAAAAAGGGGTGTTTCCTGAATTCGCACTCTATATTCACATTATCCTGAATACTTAAAAGATCTTTTTTTATCCCCTTTGTTTAGAGTAAATCATAAAACATTCTTTGTACTCTCTTTTTGGTATATCTGTGGTAATAATTTTTTTAGTGTAAAGTGTTACTAGGAAATGCATACAACCTCTATTTTTTCTTTAATAATGATTTTTTTGTGTTGATATGGAATCATTATTCTGCTGAGGATTTCAACTCTAACATTATAAATATTAAAATGGAGACTTCTGAGGAAAATTTTAAACATATTTCATGTAATTTGGAATGGTCTCTATAGTCTTTTACTGGAAACACACACACATACATAGAAAAATTATCCAAATGTGATACATATCTCCATGTACTTAGACTCCGTATATTTTTTATTCTAAATTATAACTAGTCATTTGGGAAGTTTTAATTAAAGTGATTGATTGAAATTACAAGTCAATTCTGTGTCTAGTAATTCTTATAGATATAACTTAAATAAGTTTTCAGTCTTAAAAAACTATTTTATAGGGAATGAATAATTTTTCTTTAGTCATTGGCTAATGTAGCTAAAATTTGAATGTAATGAAATATGGCTTAGTGAGGCATACTTTAATGAAATTTCTGAAAGTAAATTTGATAAAGGATACTCCAGCCTAGGTGTTGACATTTCAAATAGAGCAATGAAGATCTAAATGTCTCCCTATTCCTTTTTCACACAAGAAATATCCTTATTATATATATATAAATAATACATATAGTCTTTGTGATTAAGGCTTGGAAGATTCAAGTC